TTTTCAGATACTAACACTTCAGCACCAGGAGCCGACGTCACTGTTGTATTCTCGCACATGCGCGCGAGTACAGTATTGAAGTCTATGGACGATTCAGTGAGACCGCAAGATCCTTCATAGACAGAACCAATTCCCTGCTGATTACGCCTGGAGGGATTGACATTCCTAGAGACAAAGTAATCCCTACTGGGTTGGAATTTCAGTGACTTGCAGACTTCGCATTGAGCTGCATTGGGAAGTATGTGATTGGACAGCCACACAGTGGTGTATCCTGGTTTTGTGCTGCCCTAGGCATGACAAAACTCAGGCACCCCCCTCCCCCCTCTAAATACATATACACACTCACTGACAGACACATATACACTCAGTGTCAGAGACACACATTCACTGACAGACAACATACACACTCACTAACAGACACACACACTCACTAACAGACACACATAGTAACACACTCACTAACAGACACACACTCTCACTAACAGACACACACACTCACTAACAGACACATACAAACATTTTTTTTTAAATTTAATCCCCCCAGCCTCCCTACCTACACTCACTGACACACACACAGACACACTAACAGACATGCATACACACTAACAGACACACACATAGTAACACACACTAACAGACAAACATTTGCTAACAGACACACACACAAACACACTCACATTTAAAAAAAAATTGAAATTCAATCCCCCCAGCCTCCCGACCTTTGGGAGTGCTGGGGTGGATTCTCGCTTTCCCTGGGGTCCAGTGGGGTTGCTGGGCAGCCGGCCGGTCACTGCGGTCAGCGGGGGAGCACTGATCCTCCTGTTCAGCTCCCTAGCGCGCCGCGTAGTGATGCCGGGGCCGGAGTGATGTCATATTCCAGCTCTGGCATCACTGCGGTGCGTGCGAGGGAGGTGAACAGGAGGATCAGTACTCCCTCGCCGTCCGCCCGGGAAGTGTCGCTGCTGCCAGCCCCAGGGGGGCCCTGAGGTGGCCAGCCCGCCAGCTCCTGGGCCCCCCAGGACAAGAGGCTGGCAAGGCATTTGCCAGGGTGACTGGGGGGCGGCTTTTTTTGCCGCCCCTGAGAAAGTGCCACCCAAGGCAAATTCCTTGTCAGCCTCGCGGTAAATACACCCCTGTGGCCACAGGAAGTCTGGGCGGGGTTAGAAGGGGAGGGCTTGCAAAGGCTGAAGACAAGAGATCTGCAGCTTTTGCAAACAGTTTTTAGATATAAAGATGCATAGTTAAGCCTGTTTTCAGCAGGGTATATCTACTAAAAATTAAATGAAACTTTCCTCTGAAGTCTTCCTTTATGAGGTGCTTTTACAGCCATAATGCTGGCAAAGCATCAGGGGAAATGTAGTCTGTAAAATCTGGAGTGCAGGAGATTGCGTACCCCTGCTTTAAAACATGGAAACCATGCCTCCACTGTTCGCTGGAGTCCAATGCAGAGTTTGATTTATTATTCAGATCTGTTATATTATTATATTAATCAAAGAAACACTTTAATGTTTAAAATAAATCTAATTAACTTTGATGATTTGGGCCCTCCATTCAT